CAGCTTCGCACTGGCTCGCGCTGGGGGCCGCGGCCTTCGCACGTTGCCGTTCGGGCAGGCCGCCTCCCGTCGAGTGCAGTCAGCCCGCATGGCAAGGATGGGCAACCTTCCCGAGGGTACTTCTGCATCCGTGCCCCTTCGGCCCATCCTTCGCGACCTTCGCTGGCCAACCTCGCTCGAAAAACGTTACAATGGGCCTCCAAGGCCCTCGCATCCTCACCGCGCATCCTCATGACACGGGCGAACTGCACGTCTCTCAGGCTGCGCTCCCCGGCGCTCCCCGGCTTCCTCCGGAGGGCTCGGGGCACCGCGGCCCCGATCTTCGCCGAGCCCCTGGGGAGAAGCAGTGCAACCCGGGGCCCCATGCTGTCGGCCCTGGCCGCACCCAAGCACCACGGTGGTGCTCCCCACTGGGAGGCCTGCGCCCTCAGGGCGGAGGGCCCGGGCAGCGAGGGCCGATCTGCGGGCGCTTCGGGCAGATCACTGCGAGAGCCCTCGGCGCCGCGGCTCCCGCATATCCCGGGCGCGGGGGCACGGCTGAGCTTGCGAGTTACGACGGGGCTGTCTGTCGGCGTGCTGGACGGCTCCAGTCTGGTCGCAGATGCAGACGGGCGAACTACGACGGACGGGTTAAGGCGGGGTTGTCTCACGGCGAAGGAAGACGGGCTGCAGACCAGCAGAGCTCGTCGGTGGGGCTTGGCGAAGGTGGTCACGCAAACTGAGGGCATCGATGCCTATGTCGTGTCATGTCCCAGGCTGCTGCAACTGGCATACCAAAGTTCGTCAGGCATCGTTCTTCCCTACTCCGCAGATCCGATAGTAACGTTGCTCGTGTCAAGCGCAGACTCCTACTCTGCAGCGTCGGGAGCCGCACGCGCTCCAGGGTGAGTGTGACAGCTACCACGGCGCCCACCGAGTCTCGGAGGCTTGCTGCTCCAGGTGTCCCCATCGCCAGACGATTCGGCAACCGGTTTCCTAGCTGCTGATGGGGGCCACTATTCCTGCTCCAAGGCCTCCTTGCATCCCCCCTCCCCCATGGGCACTCTCCTCCCTCAAACTCCGACTGCAACACGTCACTACCGTCGACCAGCTCTAGCTCCATCCAGCACGTCCTTGAAATCCCACTCCACCAACTCCCTCGCCATCTTCCTCTTTGTCCCTCCTCGTCCTCCTCCTCGTCCTCCTCCTCCTCGTCCTCCTCGTCCTCCTCCTCCTCCTCCTCCTCCTCCTCCTCCTCCTCTTCTTCTTCTTCTTCTTCATCATCATCATCATCATCATCATCATCATCATCATCACCATCATCATCATCATCATCATCATCATCATCATCATCATCATCATCATCATCATTATCATCATCATTCCCTCATCATCATCATCATCATCATCATCATCATCATCATCATCATCAGCATCATCATCATCATCATCATCATCATCATCATCATCAGCTCGGAGTGCTTCTACTTTTCGAGCGGCCTCATTGCGGGCTGTAGCCACGCGGGGAGGCTTCTGAGGTGCGCCATGATGGTCCTGGATGCCGAACATCGCCGCCGCTGGAAGGAGGTAAGTTGCGCCATCATGTTCGACGACTGCTCGCTGCGGATTGCGGGCGAGTTCTGGAAGGTGGCCCACTTCCTCGGCGGAGCGACGGGCGACTTCATCCGCGGCCTGGAGGCGGACATGGGCTGCGTCGTCTCGCGATCGAAATCCGAGGTGCTCGCGACGACGGCCGCCCTCCGCGCTGCGCTGGTGGGCATCATCAACGAGGGCGAGCTGAAGCAGTCAACGGAGGCGCGGAACTTCGGGATCGATTACGGCGCCGCCCCGGGCGCTTCGGCGGTCGCCGTCGGCCGCCTCGCGAAGGCGACGGAGCAGGCGGACCACGTGCTGCAGGCGAGGCGAGGGCACATCCCCTGCGCCAAGCGGCTGGTCATCAGCGGCTCGCTGCCAGCCACGGATTACGGCTGCGGGGCCATGGCCTGGACTGCAGGCGTGGCGCAGCAAGGTCGCCGCCATGCTGTTCGGCAGCGCTCCTGGGAGGTCGGTTGCGCTGAGCTTCCTGGTCTCGGAGTCGATCCGCCGCGACCCCCTGTTCCAGCACGCCTTCCAGCCGGTGGACGCGCAGGCGAAGGCTCTGCAATTGGCCGAGCGCTTGGAGGACCGCCGCGCCATTCTGAGCGCCTTCGTGGGCGCGCAGCGCTTGGCCCAGGAGGCGGGCCTGCCCAAGCTCCCCCGGTCGGGCCCCGCGGGCGCCCTGCTGCTTGCGTGCTCGCAGCTCGGCTGGCGCATGGCCTCAGTCCGGACGCTGCGGGACGACCTCGGCCGCGAGGTGGATCTCATGGCCAGCAGCCGCCACACCCTGCAGGGCATCGTCGAGGCAGGCTTGCGCAGGCAGCTTTGGCGTGACGCGGCAGACCATCATGAGGAGTTGGAAGCTCTGCGGGGCGGCGGGGCCGTCGCCAGCATTCGTTGCCGCTTCCTGCCCAAGAAAGTGACG